ATATAAAACCCCTCCAAAAAAAAAAAGAAAAAAAAAAAAGCACTTTAATAGGAAAACGGATCTCATCTCCAGTTGTTATTGAAGTTATTGAAGTTCTTTCCATTTGCCTTTAAAAAAAAAATCTATACTAGTTGTTATGGCCCAGCACCAAAAAAAAAAAATTAATTTAAGAAAAACACAAAAGAACAACAACCTTCAACCCTCTCCATCCATTTGTATTAGTTAAAGCACTCAACTTTATGTTTCCTCTGTAAAAGAAAAAAGAGAGAAAGTTACTGGGAATGCTTAAATGATAAAAACATACAGCCAATCATTTTGTATCGTACTATTTTAATGGAATGCACACTTTGTTTAAAAAACCTGATGTACAAGGTGAGGGGGTTTAAATGGTTCACTACTGAAGAATAACTTACAAACAGCACGAATGGATGTGATTAAGGTGGACAACTATATACAAAAATTAAATACAATGCTACAGCACATTAAGAGAATTACAAATGTTCATAAAAGGCAAATATTAACATGTGGCAAGATGGAACTCCACTAAGTCCCTACATGATCAATAACGTCTCCCCTCTCACGGAAGCATCTTACGTTCATCTGCATACTGAATCTAATGATATTAACTAAGGAGGACACCAAATGTACCACTGTATGAATATTAAACGGTCTCTCTTATCATGGGGGTCATAAAATGATCAAATGTGGCTTGTTTCCCATCAATATTAATTATACAAATGACAACTCTCCCCACTATTTTATATTATATTCCCACGTTTGTAAATAATCATGCAATAGTTCACCCAAAATTAACTTCTCACCTTCATTTAGTTCCAAACCAATATGACTTTTACCACTAGTGAAACATAAAAAGAGATTATATTCATGCTGCTATTTTCCATAACATTAAAGGTATGGAACAGAGCAGCATGGACATTCTGCTAAATATCGTCTTTTGAAAAAAAGCCACACTGGTCGAAAATTACATGAAAGTGAGTAAATTATATAAAAAAAAAAAAAATTAGTATTTCCAAGTGAACTACCATTTTAAAACCTATACTGGAGAAGATAGTTTATCAAATCCTCTAGGTTTGAAGAATAATCTGGACTACTGAGCAAAAAAAAAGAAGTCAAATCTCATACTTAGTTGTCCAAATATATTAAAATTTGTCAGTGTAGAAGCTCTCAACAGCATTTCTCAAAGGCTCAAAGGCCCAAACCCCGGACGCTTAAAGGGCAGCATTACAGTTTCCATGTCGATCAAAACAAACTTGGCTTTTCCTTACTCAGAAAAGAAAGAAAGCAAAAGAGAAAAAGAAAAAAACCTCAACCCCCTTTACGCACCATTCTTCATCAATAACTTTAATTTCAGGAAGGGGAATTTTAACTAGCAAAGGTTTTCGCTGTGTCTTCCTTGCCTCTGTAAGTTCTCTTCCCATGTGTGAAGGGCAGGTATCTATACTTGATCATGTGCTGCAGAGGAAACACAAACAGTGTCAAAGAACTTCACTTTCAGTACAAATGGAACTCTATTTTTAGATAACTCAGCTTTGTGAAATAAAATAGCTGGGAAAGAAAAGCTTCCACTGCCGAACCTTGATCTGCCGTTTCATGGTGATGCAGAACAGCATGATGAAATACATTACGAGGATGGGCCAGAACACTGGCACGTTGAAGGCTTCGAAGAATGTGCAAATCATAGCGATGATGATGCCTTTCGTCGCTGAATGCCTGAAACATCAACACACACATTAATCAATGCACTCGGAAGGAATATGCAACACATACATGTAATGTGAACATCAAAAATTAATGATAGCTACAATGGATGATTTATTATTGGATTTGCTGATAAGTTCCTCTGTTTGGCTGATTAGTGTGGGACTTTTATTTTGCCTGAACTAAGAATCCCAGCACAAACTGCCGCAAATGAAACTGAAAGTTGAAAGACGCTCAACATGTAAGACTAACTTATATAACTTGATCTTGAAATTAGCTGAAGATGAATAAAATGCAGCGCATATCTGTTGCTTTCGTTGACATGAACTACGTTAAAGGGATAGTTCACCCAAAAATGAAAATTCTGTCATTAATTACTCACCCTCATGTCGTTCCAAACCCGTAAGACCTCCGTTCATCTTCTGAACACAAATTAAGATTTTTGATGAATTCTGAGAGCTCTCTGACCCTCCCATAGACAGCAATGTAATTACCACGATCAAGGTCCAGAAACGTAGCAAGGAGATCGGTAAAATAATCCATGTGACATCAGGAGTTCAACCGCAATTATACGAAGCTACGAGAATACTTTTTGTAAGCAAAGAAAACAAATAACGACTTTATTCAAGAACTCGTCTCCTCCCTGTAGCGCCATTTTGGAGAATATCAGCTGGATGTAAACAGCGTATGCTATTCTGTGTCAGCTGCGCCATGCGCAGTGTTTCACATTCATTAACTAGACTGTGGTGGCCCGAGCTGCTTATTTCAAAGTGAAGCACGCACATTGTGCAGCGCACGTGATTGGCTCGTGATCCGGTGTTTTCCGCGGCTCCGAGCGGCTCCGTTCACAGTGAATGCAGTGAACTCCGTTATTGAATGTGCTGTGTGTTTAGCGAGTTTGGGAACGCAACGGCCACAAGTTAAGCATAATTTGCACATTTGCATAATTTTCAACATTTTAATTTTGCTCATTTGCATAATTTTCAATATTTGAATGGGCAAATATTTACAGTATTTCATTACTAATTTCATGTTTGTAAACCTGTTTTCACAGAAGCTGGAGTTTTCCGCCAAAATAAAAGTTCAAGGGTTTATCTCTTGCAAGCATGGCCTAAAATTAACAGA